AATAAGCTGCTGAATACTGATTTCTGATGACTTTAACTGGTCACAAGATAACACAGTTACAATATTCAACAAGTGAAGTAGAAAGTCTTAATTCATGAGATCAAGATTAGTATTTTTGTGTCCATGATGGTTTGAGATGTGTCACTCTGTTCTCCACTGCAGTATAATAAGAATACCTTACAATAAACTCAAAGGTACATTTAAATGCTGATCCAGGATCAGTGTCATTACCCCAAATTTAATATTTACTGACATTAGAGAACACTTTAATTCAGTCCTGTAGCTCACACATGCCAAGACGTTTGTACAAAACATAACAAACTTGTGTTTTCAGCTGTGTTTGCTCTGCTGCTCTTCCAATGCGTGCTCCTTCCAACGCCGCACACAAACTTACACACTACTAACTTCCAGCTAGCCCATCCGTGTTCACGCAGCACCACAGTGGAAGCAAAGCAGAGCAAACAAAGCCAAAACACAATTTTGTTCTGTTTTTCAAAACATCTAGGAATGTGTAAGCTGCAGGACACTTGGATTACTTCAGATGAGCAATATGGAGACATTTTTTGGATGTTTGAAGCCAAGTTGCCGTTCAATGCAGTTTTGTGAGAAACAAACATCTCGGCAAACTCCCAGAAGAGCATGATGAGTCCTTCTATCGGCATCGGGGTGAGTAGACGATGACAGAAATTTCATCTTAGGGTGGCTAAAATGGGTTTGAGGTAGCTTGTTAAAGGCACAAGGACAAGTTCAGGAACTGTTTGCATAGAGCATACGTAGCCTATCGTTTGGAGAGGCTTTTTAACCTTAAACTCTGGAAAACATTTGACATGCTGGTGCATCTTAAAAGACATGCTTACTATTCCTTTTTATCTTAAAGAACAGTGTTTTGCTCTGAGGTTCTAAACGTCTGTTTCTGTATCATGAGTAATATCCTACAAAAAGCAGAGCATCTTGACACTAAAAAGTGCGATATTTGGCCCCTCGCTCTTTTCATGCCCACACTCACATCCGTGACCCATTAAAAATGGCCCCACGAGCCACCAGTTGAGAACCTCTGGTTTAACTTGAAAATGCTTTTCTTTTGTCCCCAAAACGTAGCCACTCCACATGGCCACATACAGTATTTAATACAGCGCAACAAGTTCAAATAAAAATGACATCATTAAAACGAGCGAAAAATAAGAAAATAGACAAATAGCCACATTAACAACTGTGCCGTATACATGTGCACTCAGACTCAAGTTTGTTTCGCAGAGACAGGATTTTCGGGGACAGCTTAAGGACATCAAGCTCTAGAAGAAGCTTTTGAAAAACTTCCAAAGTGTACTTTGTTTTTGGGGGTAACTCAAATTCATGGCATAAATGATGCTCATGAGCAGGAGACAGGCCTTTGTAACACTTCCATAGTTGTCAAGTACCTCAGTCCCTTCAATAACAATGGACACATCAGTGTCGGATGCACCTTCATCTTCTTCACTTGTGTGGAAGACACAGATCCTCAGGACTTGCTCAGCCTGGTCCTCTTGAACTTCCTCTCTGCTGATATCCTGTAAAATATATGTGAATCCATGTTCAGGTGCATAGTACATATTCTGCTTCATTTTCATTTGGAATAGTATGTATATTCTGTGATGATGGTAAACCTCTTACAACTTATGAATTGCAAAGCACTACACAATTTTGTTTTTACCTGAATAGCCAGATGGCTTTTCTTGTGACACAGCTTGCTGTAGTTGCTGTTTGAGATGGCACTGTGTCAACTGTACAAAGTTGTTGCTTTGGGCTTAAGGACAAAAACACAAAGACAAAATAATACATTAAAACTACAGAATACTACAAGAAATACTACATTAAAACTAGAGGATCATGTAACCAAAATGAACTGTACCACTGTCAAACCAATGTATTTTGGATAATATTTGAAAATATGGCTCTGATCTAAAACATTACACCCATTTCCACATGTGTTAAATCTTAAATGAAGAAAATCCTGCATTTTTGCCGCTGTGATTCTGTTCCTCTCCTCCAAGAGCATTGCTGGTCTAGATTCACGTTGTTGAGAGAGAGCTGTGTCATATGCATCAAGAATAATGCAGAATCCAAATTGAAACAGTGTAAACGGAATCAGAATAGAGAACAATGAGGCTTCATATCAAATTATGAGCAAAATATAGACGAGGGGATTAGAAAGAAAGGGATCCAAACAAGGTGATGGTCCTTATGAAGCATGTGGAAGAAAATGATCACAGGAAATGTTTTTGGATAGATCATTTGAATTTTTTCCAATTTCGACAAATGAATCTGAATTTCAGATACTTAAGGCTCATCAGTAGCTCTATAACAACTCAAAAGATGGAAAGTGCATCATTTCTACAAGTGGTGGTTCTTTTAGTTGAAATAAGACACATAAAGTATTTTCATATATGGAATAAAAATATACAGCCACAGTAAGAAACAAATCTGAAATGCCAATAAATGAAATCATATTTATCCTGATAAACTGAGTGACATTTTGTGGGAATGAACATCTCTCCTGACCTCTGTTTGCTCTGTCTCAGTAAGATTTTAGATTTGTGGCAAACTACGAGTACACTGCAAATGAACAAAAACCATAGCTTCCTCTTTAGCTTAAATAATGATTAGCAGCAGGGTTTTGGTGAGGTCTGGTAGAGACTCTCCAAACCGACGCTGCGGATATTTGAAACGTTTTCTCTCCTCCCTTCCCCTCCTATGTGTAGCGGTTGTGTACTCTGTCGTTGCCTTGAGTTCATTATGCGAAGGAAACTCATCATTTTGGCAAACCCGCCATTTATCCACAGCATCTAGCGAACTATTAATTATACAGTCAGTCCCGGATTCAAAACACTATTACAAACACTATTAAAACTTACTTGGTATTTCTAAGTTCATGGGCAATGACTATGAAACCTTTGAATATTATGTGAAAATACACAATAAAACTTACTCTTCCCACACAGTTTATTTATTACATGAAAGACATATATAGTTTTACTTGAATAATTCCAGTTCTCACTGATACTTACAATTAGAAAATAACAATTGTGACAGTTAACCTAATAAATATTACTACACCAAAAAATGTATGGCTGAACAGACACAGGAAGGAGCGCCACCTAAACACACTCAAACATTTACAGGACAACTAATGAGAAGATGTCAAAGTACCGCCCACAATGTTTGATTGACAGCTGATCTCTGTGCAGTGAAGAAACGCCACAACAATCAGCTCTCAGCAACAAACATGAAGACAAAATCAGGTTAAGGATTCAAACTCAGAGTTTAACACAAAGTCCCTGAAATGACTTCTGTCTATTTCAGTTTATAGAACTCAGCAGTCTCTCCATAATAAAGCCTAAGTCCAGCATAGAGAGGCTGAGTGAATGTGGTCTGGACTCTGTGGAGGAGAGTCATGGTTTCAGAGACGCTGTAGAAGGACAGAATACCTGCACTGTGATCCAGATACACTCCAACTCTGGAGGACTGAGGACCTGAGACAGGAGTTGAGACATTGTTGTACCGAAAGTTATAACTGTTATTGTAACAATATAATGACCAAGATTTGTTATTGCGTCCAAATCCACATTCATATGAGCTCCCTGCTCTGCTGATATTCTTGTATGCGACTGCTACATAAACTCCTCCCCCTCTCCACTCCACCTCCCAGTAACAACGTCCAGTCAGACTCTCTCTACTCAGGACCTGACTATAGTTAGTGAATCTGTCTGGGTGACTAGAATAAGACTGTTGTTGACTCATTACTGTTACTTTTCTGTTCCCCTCAGATAATAACAGATATGTGTTTGCTGTGTTTGGATCCAGTGTGAGTTCACGTGAATATTGTAAGAATCCAGCTCTGGTCTTGGGCTCTGGTTGTGGCAGTAAAACATCCACTTCAGTCACTGTCAGTGAGACGTTTGTCCATTTGTCCCTCAGAACGTCCTGTAGTTTATCTCTGAGCTCTGACACAGCCGCTGTCACATCCTCAAAGTACCTCAGAGGACGGATATTGATGCTGGATGTAGATTCACTGAGTGCTGACAGTGAGGGGTAGTTGTGTAGAAACTGGGTGTGGTCCTCTGTGTGTGACAGCTTCTTCATCTCAGCGTCTTTCCTCTTCAGCTCAGTGATCTCCTGCTCCAGCTTCTCCTGAAGCTCTTTGACTCGACTCACTTCAGTTTCCTGCTGGGATCTGACCTGCTGCTTCACATCAGAGCTTCTTTTCTCCATGAGACGGATCAGCTGAGTGAAGATCTTCTCACTGTCCTCCACTGCTTTATCAGCAGAGCGATTGATAGCCTCCACCTCCCGTTGAAGCTCCTTCACATCTTTCTCTCTGTCCTGGATTCTCTGCTGGATGTTTTGTCGACTCACCTCGAGCTCTCTCTGCCTCTCAGTCCTTTCTGCTGCAGCTGAGACTGTGTCGTGGCCTTTATGTTCATCCACAGAGCAGAGATAACAGATACACTGCTGATCAGTACGGCAGAACATCTTCATCACCTCATCATGACGAGAGCAGATGTTCTCCTGGAGCTTCTTGGAGGGGTCCACCAGCTTGTGTTTCTTAAAGGAAGGTGATTCATAATGAGGCTGGAGGTGTTTCTCACAGTAAGAAACCAGACAGACCAGACAGGACTTGAGGGCTTTCAGTTTTCTCCCAGTGCAGACATCACAGGCCACATCTTCAGGTCCAGCATAGCAGAGATCAGCAGGAGCAGCTTGGAGTCCAGTCTTCTTCAGTTCCTCCAGTAAAGCTGCTAACATGGTGCTTTTTACCAGGACAGGCCTCGGTGTGAAGGTCTGCCTACACTGAGGGCAGCTGTGGATTTTCTTCTCATCCTCTTCATCCCAGTAGCTTTTAATACAGTTCATGCAGTAGCTGTGTCCACAGGGAGTAGTCACCGGATCCTTCAGTAGATCCAGACAGATGGAACAAGAAATTATTTCTCGGTCCAGCTGAACTCCTTTCTGCGCCATTTCACCTCTCAGTGACAACGACTGTCTGAGTTTCACTTCCTTATAAATGAGGCCGGGTTGAGCTCTGATCTCAACAACATGTGTCTCTGCAGTGAATGGGGCCTGTCAGCTCTTGCTCATGTTGGTTACACCCATCTACAAACTGTAGATCTGAAGGGGGAGGGAACAAGGAAATACATGAACAGAGTGTAGCTCGCTGTGTTTGAATCAGGAAGAAGAGGGAGGGGTTATCGAGGGTTTAAAGTTCTGTTTTATTGTCATTATACAACACAGGATTGCACAATAACATGCAGTTGTAGTCCTCTCCACTCACACACTGAAAATGTCAAATTCAAATGGATAAAAACTGACTGGAAAGGAGTAAAAGATTCACTGTGTCTAACTTCTCTTCCTGTACAAAGAGGAAAAACAGCTCAAGATGGCAACATGAAGAAAAACATCCAAAAGTTACTCACTGATTATTAAATCATAAAACAACTATCAAAATGTTACAGGCCTCAAGCATGAGTTACCCGTAAGCAGGTATAGTATCCTGTTTTGTGCAGGAAAAGCAGAGACAGGAGACGTTACTTGTGATCGCTCAGCAGGCTGTTCTCTGTTTTTATTTAACAGAATCTTTCTTTTTCACTTCATTTAAACCAACTTAGGGTTTTGTTCACAACAATCTTCATTTTGCAATTTACATGACATCAAGCTTTAAGGTTCATATACTAACCCACTGGACTGACATTTTACAAATGTACAAAATGACTGCTGAATGAAACAGAAATCAAATTCAAACTCCTAATTTGTACCATTGTTCACCAACAGTGACTGCTATTTAGGTCCAACACCACATTTACAGTAGCATTAATACTTTTAAGCCCAAGCTGTTCACATTTTTACTAAATTCTTAAACACAAAGTATACATAACAATAACAGGCCATCATTACAAAAATACCTTTGCCCTTTTTAACTTTACCAAAATATTTGATCTATATATTATTATTATTATTATTATTATTATTATATTATCCTGGTAACATGACTTAGATGAACGACTTAACAACTTTACACAACCGTACTTCACAAAGCTTTGACAAAACAAATACAAGACAGAGGGTATGTCAAGGAGCAGGGACCAGAAATAAAAGAAGTATTAAGAGGAGCGAGCAAGATTTCATTGCAGGAAAACTCAGTTTCTTAGCTGAGCAAACTACTGTTTTACACATCAAACGTTGTCAAAACAACATAATGAAGTCCTTGTAAAAAAAAGTCCTTATAAATGCTTTGTGACAAGATATGACACACTACTAACCTGTTTTGTGCAGGAGAAGCCTCACGCAGCCCTACTAGCGCTCACCAAAGTGGACACTCCCTCTTGTGGCACAACTGGGAAATTGCACTTTTAAAACTACTACTCCCATGTCTTGTAAAGATTCATTAACATTTGACCTTTTTCACTGGCTAATACACAAAACATTTTAACAGTTGTGACTATACATTTGTAGGCGTCACAGAAACATTTTGAATGAATTTAAAGGAGTAAATATGTTGATTACACCAGAATACAATGAAAACAATACAATTAATGTTACATAATTACATTCATCCTGAGTTTTATATCGGAGGTGAGAAGATATTAAAGTCTGTTATTTACTTGCTAATTAAAGAAAATGTAAAGAACAAGATATTAGAATCAGAGTGAGTTTTATTATAAGAAGGTTTTCAATACAAGGAATTTGCCTTGTTATCTTTGTACATAATAAACATAAAGTGCTAAAAACCATAAATAAAGGAAACACGGACTTCAAGTCAAAAAGCACAAAAATAAAAATATTATAAAGAGAAAAATAAACAATATGTACAATATGACTGCTATATATATTTTTATTTTAGCTCTTTGGTTGTTTGAACTTCTTTAATGCAGGACGAGGCTGTTTATCAGAGGTTCTGTGAATATAGTTTGTGTTCAGGTCTTCAAAGTCAAATTAAACAAAAATGCTGAGATATGTCTACTGTATTTATTTTCTAAAGTTTTCTAACACCCCATAAAACCAAGAAGGCCTCCCGACCTACTAAATAACTAAAGAATACATAATACAGACAGAGAATTGTATAAAAAGTTCCCTAAAATATCAGGAAAACTGATCTCTGATCAATATTCAAAGGAAATAATCTGCTCAAACTTCATCCAAATCTCTGGTTTTACACAAACTTGCTGCAGTTATTGTGTTCACTGTTTGGGTTCATTGTTCAGTTTATCAGCTGTTCTCTGCTGTTATTGTTATAATTCAATATAATATGAAATATGTGTAACATATAGTTTACTCAGTGATAGAAAAGGTGTCCCTGAAGGATAAAGGCTGGGAGCCAGTGCCTTAGAGGAATGGAAACAACGAATCATTGTGAACTGAATGAACCTGTGTCTGCTGCTTATTGAACAATATGGATACAGGAAAGTGCAGTCCTCCATATATTCACATGTCAGTGTACATGTTGGTCGTACCTGTCTTGGGGGCTGATTCTGGGGGGCGTGGCTAAGCCATTTTCCAATGCCCATCTATGGGACCAAGACAATACCTTAGCCTTCGCCATGACTGAATTTTGTGCAAAGTTTCATGAGGCATGTTTAGACCCCCAAAAAGTGTTCAAATGTTAACGCAAAAGCTGCGCCATGGCAACAACGTTCCACGCAAATCCTTAACATTCATAAGATGTCATCGGCATCGTCCTAAGGGACCGCTGACAGAATTTCAGCTGGATCTGGTCAATCTGCGGGAAGATATAAATAAAAGTATAAAAATGACATTTCCTTTCACCACTAGGTGGCGCTGTCACTATGGATTTATAAGTAGATTTCAGCTGGATCTGATCATTCTGCGAGGAGTAGAACATGAAAGTATAAAACGTGATACCTCCTGTTGGCACTAGGTGGGGCTCTCACTATATCTGAATATTATCACATAGACGTGTTCAGGGCGGGACTCTTATCAAACACGTGAAGTTCCGTTGAGATTGGACCATGTACGCAGAAGTTCAAATCCCTCTTTCATGGTGAAGGTTCAAAATTTGACGCCACGCGCACAGTTCACTAGAATATTCACTTCAAATGTCTCTTCTGTTCATTTTAAACAACAGCAGTAAACATCCCAGTTTGTCACAGAACAAAAGCAACTGAGCTGATGCTCGCCACCCGCCTCCTCTTCAGATGGCTGACAAAGGAAGTGCTGGCAGAATCAGAGAGCTTAAAAGGGGTTGGGCCGATAATCGGGCTACACCATGTTGGCTGGAATCATGGGGAGACGCCGTGCTTTCTCCTTGGTGAGTTCAGTTATTTCTGATTATTATACTTTTTGATGTTTAGTATTTCAGTATTTTCCTTAGTTCATATTTGGCTGCATTATCTGGATATTATTTGAGGTTATTATGGTTTGTTTAAATGTTGTGTTTTAGTCTATTCCCCCTGTGTGTCAGAGTGGCCTGATCAGCCACTATTTAAGTTTCCCCAATGTCTCAGTTTAGTTAGGGTCATCTAATGTACCACACTCCAGTTCGGTAGGTGGCAATGCGCCTATAAGCTTGATGCCTGTCGCCAAACAAATCTAAAAGAAAGAAAAAAGTTTAGTTAGGTCAGTTTGGTTGGTTGGTTTAGTATGTTCAGTTTGTTCAGTTAATGTGGCCTGAGTTAAGTTCTGTTTAGTTGACCTCTTTTATGGGCCCAGAACATTTTGTATATTTTGTAAATTGATTATTTTTCGTGAATAAAATTACTTTTTGTGAACATTTACCCTTGACTCCTCATGCCTGCCAGCTCAGTCCCTGACAGAGACACACCCACACCTGGTGCACTCAGTCTGCTGCCTTCAGGCTGGGAGACACACCCACACCTGATGCACTCAGGCAGGGAGGGCGCGGCCTGCAGCTCAACTCAACACCCACTACAACCCAGTTTGCTCCATCTGTCGGTCGCTGACAATAAGTAGATCTATACAGAACACAATCAGGTACATTCAATATTTACTGAATAGAATATGTTCTATAAAATCTTAATATGAGTCAATATTTACTACAAGAAATTGCAAATTATATTTCTATGAAAAAAATAAGAGAATACAACATTTAGCTTTGGCTCTGCTGCCTGTAAATGAGTCCAGTCCTCACAATATTATACAATTAGCTTTGGCTCAATGTACATGTGAGCCTGTGGCTGGAAGTCTCACACTAACTGCATCAAACTGGACCCCCCAGGTTTCCTTCTGTACGTTTAAAAACTAAAACACTACATGGTTTGGCTGAATATTTGATGGTTCTTATTTACTGAGAGATATGGATCCATCTGGCCCAGTGTGCCCAGCAAATCAACATTTTAAATCCAGTGTCAATCCATTGCTTTCCATCTTGCATTAGTTCAGAGCTCTAACTGAACCTCCACTGAGAGACTAAATAATCATTGTCTAGTTTGAAAATGATGTGTGAGTATGAGTGCCATCACACCCACAGGTTGTCTGGACTGGTCCGCACACAGGTTGCTGCTGGAGAGTGCCACTTTCATTTGGTGCCCGCCCATATGAACACATGTTATTACACCCACTGACACATGGAGGGGAGACGGGGCCCCTGCGTGATTTGCAGGCTCCTACGCATAAAGTCTAGTGAGCATATAGGGCCGACTGGCTCTGCTGGTTCCAGTGGGAAGCGAATGAACAGGATAAAGGAGACACAAGGATGCAGAGAAGCAGCGTGATGGCTTAGAGGTCAGCACCGTCGCCTCACAGCGAGAGGCCAGCCGTGGATAGTTGTAACACGCTGACAGCCAATGAAACTGCACGATTTTATGGTCCGCTGTCCATGGTACTGAACTGCTGCACTATTTATTCAAAATGTCACAAGTTACATTCAAATCTACATAACTTCAGTCTAAAGTATGAAAATCCTTTTTGTATTTATGTATTGAGAATTTTATGGAACAATTATAGTATCAATATAATACGTAATATTACAGTGAATTATATTTGTAATAAAGACTGATATTCTTTAGCATTCAAAGATGAATTAAATACTATTATTCATAATGGAAATGAGCTGACCAGAGCTTTATAGATGAAATCAAGTGAAACAAGTTCTGTGCTAAAAGTCATTGTTTTATTAAATCTGTCCACACGTGTCTTCAGTGCAGTTTAGAGAGTGCTAAAACAAGAATAAACAACATATCAATCAGTTTTATATCCAATAATCAATTATAAATATATACAAGGAAACAACTAAATCAATCAGATTAATCAGTTGTAATTTCACAGAATGCAATGCTCCGTGGTCGAACGGCGTTTATGTTAAAGGACATTGTGAAGCCTTTAATGATTTAAGCCGTTAATCATGATATAATTGGTATATGAATTCAATTCAGATTTGTTTTATTACAAACGGCAGACATGTAGTTATGATACAGGATGCCTTCGTACATTCAAAATGTGAGCTTTGATATTAAAATACTTTATGCAGATAGTAACAGTCCTGGTTATGTGCTCTATTCAAGTCAGTCTATGGTCACTGTGGTCTTTCTGTGTGTGGGCTATAAATTTAATGGTACATTTTGCAAATTAAACTAATTATTTTCTATAGGTTTACTAACTGGTAAAATCATGTATTTTGTGATAAAATACAACATATCTAATGTGTATTTCCAACATAGCTTGATCCTGCATCTCTATTTACAGCTCATTAACCCTTACGTGAATGTTTACTGTTGCTATGGCAACAAGTGACAGCCTACATTATCAGCTACATTTGCCCAACAACCCATAAAATCACAATTCGGCATATTTAAACAAAATAAACCACATCTACCAACAGTTACACCCCTTAAACTCTGAGCTAATGTGCTGTTAGGGTCTACTCGACGGCTTTGAGCCCCATGGTCCCTAATGAAAGTCTTTTTTTTAGAATTTACACATTGCCTCATTGTTGTTTTCAGCCGGCGCCAACCACCTCCTAAATACATCCTCTTCCATCCACTTGTCGTTAAATTTGCACTTCCCCATCTTCTTTGCATGTTAAACCTCACCTCGACAACTGCGTAATGGTGGCACGCAGCTCTACGTCAGCGTCTGTAGCCGACGTACCGTAAAACAGCTATTAATCGTGGAGACTCTCATTTGACACAATACTAAATTAATCAACTATTAGATGTTTTACGGTGGGCCACTGTGCTTTCCCATCGTCATTAAGTGCACCGGCTGAAAATGTAATACCTACAGCAACTTTACAGTCAATTTAAGACAATATAAGACTTTTTATGGACCCGCGGGAACCCTGTAATAATAAATAAAGAATGAAATGTTAGACACTGGACCTTTGGGACAAAATGTGAAGAACAGAACAACAGATGGATAATGTATGACCTCAGCTATCTTTTTCTTTCTGCCGTCCACCCTCTCTTTCTCCATCGCATAGAACGGTGAGGCCTCAAATTCTTTCCACTTCATTTCCTTTGTCATGTATTTATGACGCAAGGACCTTAGCTGGACAGTGAATGTGTTTTCCTCCCGGGAATCCTGTGTGTGTGTGTGTGTGTGTGTGTCTGCTGGTTGGACCCTGCTTCAGCTCTGTGTGACAGAAACGACACATTGTTCCTCGAGGCTGAGGGTCCGGCAGTTTCCTCTTCTTTTCCGCTCTGTCTTCCACTCTGCGCTCGGTTAGCTGAAGTTCACGCTGAAAGAACTCAGTTTGTTGGGATGAGCAACCTCTGTCACCAGAACCTGCAGCTCAGGAGGAATGGTTACAGGTCTCTTCACTGTCGGCACGGTGGGACTACAAGGACAGAACAACAACCGGATGACAAAAGCATTCATCAGTAAATGTATTAAGTATTACTAATATTTCCACATGGCATAAATTACACACAAACAGATGAAACAGTACAGCAAACGTCACGTTTAAGAACACTGTTTGAGACTAAAGTGATTCTGAATGTTCAGTCAGTAGAAGAAAGAATGTACTTACAACACTGTGCCAGTTCCTTGGTGGGTGATATGCTCTTCATCGCTCTCTCCAGCTCCTCATCGTCATCATCCATCACTGTGACACAAACATAAAGAATTACAGTGCTGTAAAAATGTATTTCTACATTAGACATACATTATTGTGGTAAAAAGCATATGTTACATGTGATGAAGAAGACCTACTGGTGTCTTCATCAGGTGCACTTGAGGCAGGAACTGGTGAAGAGGAGACAGAGGCCGACTGTTTCCTTATCAGCTACTGCTGCAGTCTGTACATCTGAGTCCCTGAAAACACTTAGTTCTCATGATGAAGGCAGCGTAGCCGTCAGCCCTCCTGTCCCACACCTCCCTCCAGCTGCTCTCTGGTCCACAGCCAAAGCCAACCAGCTGCTCGTCCTCTGAGGCTGCTCTTAATATATACCTTAAATATATAACTTTAAAATATAGCTTTAATATATAACTTTAGGTATTTAAACTAAAACATCTCTCAGGGCTGGTCCCCATTTACAATGATGTGGAGTAACATTTTAAAATGACTAACAATATAAGATATATTTAATATAAAATAGAATATATATAATATAATATAAGATAAAATTAAGATAATATAAGATATTAAAACAGAAATGAATGTAAGAAAACAATTACTTAATTAAAAATTAATAAAATATATAAGATAATATGTAAAGAAAGGCGACTATAAAAGCAGTTTGAACAACATACGAAACAATTCAAGTGAAACCAGTTCAGACAGGTTGAATAACGTAAATTACTCTGAATTATTAGTTATTAGAAACCCTGAAACAGTTAAACTGAACATTATCGTTTACATACTAACTACCTGCTCAATGTTTTAATGACAATATAACTTATATAAACTTAGGACATTTGTGTTTGGTAGATTGTTTCTCTGTGGTAACAATGCTTTTTGGCAATAAATCTTATACTGTTGGAAAGCCTGTTTAGTTCCCTTTCAGATGGTTCCCCATTTGTAAGGAACATGCACTTGTGTAATGAGCAGCAGATCTGAGTATGTGGGTTGCGCCCATGATTGGCACCTGATTGGGCAACTAATGGGGCAATGGGGCAACTTCAAGCTGGTGTTCCGCAAAACCAAGTTGCGACATTATTTGGAGTGAGCCCTAGTACCATCTCCAAACTGAAGGCCAAGTTCCATATAACGGGGGATGTCAAAGACAGGCTGCGAAGTGGGTGTCCCAAGAAGACGACACCCCAAGAAGACCATTTCCTCACCCTGTCAGCACTTAGGTGCCGTAGGCTGTCTTCTACAGATTTGCAGTCAAGGTTTGCAGGACGATATGGCCGACGGCTCTCTGCCTAGACAATCCAGAACAGACTACACACAGCCAATCTTCGGTCTCATAGGGCTGCCAGGAGTCCTGCAATGACTGTCCTTCACCGTCAGGCCCGTTTGCGCTGGTGTCTGCAACACGTGCACTAGAACCTGAACATATGGAGGAATGTTATGTTCAGTGATGATTCCAGATTCTGCCTACGGCAGTTGGATCGTAGGGTCAAAGTGTGGAGAAGACGCGGAGAATGCTATGCTGATTGCTGCACCGATAGAATAACATCTTTTGGTGGAGGCAGTGTGATGGTGTGGGGCGGCATCTCCCTCACTGGAAAAACCAGGCTTGTCATCATTGGAGACAATCTCAATGCAGAGAGATATAGAGAAGAGATTCTGCAACCAGTGGCAATCCCATATCTCCACAGTCTGGGATCGACCAAGATGCGCCCCCCCCACAGGGCGGGGTTTATCAGAGACTACCTCCTGAATGTGGGAGTGGAGAAGATGGAATGGCCTTCCAGCAGTCCTCACCTCGAATGGGATGCCGTCCCACAGCAGTGTGTGACCAGGCTGGTGAGCAGCATGAGGAGGAGGTGCCAGGCTGTTGTGGCTGTGTATGGTTCTTCCACACACTACTGAGGCTCCTGTTTGTGAAATTAATAAATATTTTAATTGCCAATATGTCTTGCTTCTTCAAACTTCAATCATCCAATCCACCAAACCAGAATAACCGGTTTGGCATTGGCAGAGAAGATTTGGCAAATTATTTATGGGCGCAACCCACATACTCAGATCTGCTGCTCATTACACAAGTGCATGTTCCTTACAAATGGGGAACCATCTGAAAGGGAACTAAACAGGCTTTCCAACGATATAATATTTATTGCCAAAAAGCATTGTTACCACAGAGAAACAATCTACCAAACACAAAAGTCCTTACTTTTTGTGCTAAGTTTTTTAAAGTATAATTTTTAAGCTTTTATTGTAGTGACAGCTGAAGGCAGACAGAGAAAGAGGGGATGACACGCAGCAAAGGGCCACAGGTTGGATTCGAACCCTTGGCCGCTGCAGCAAGGACTCAGCCTCAGTACATGGGTCGCCAGCTCTACCCACTGAGCTATCCGGGAACAACCACTTTTTGTGCTAAGTTTATATATATAACTAATTTATCTGAACAGACTAAAACTGTGTGTGTGTGTGTGTGTGTGTGTGTGTGTGATGGTCTTGAATTTGAACCTAGAAAACACAAACACAAACATATAAATGAAAATATCAGGAATGAATCAAAATATTTTACAACACGTGAGTAAGTGTGGCGCGTAAATCAAAAGCATAAACCGACTGTTTGTAATGACGTCAGAGAGTTTTGCCGCCTTGTAGTTTAAATGAATCCGAGACAAACTACAAACATCGTGATTCAACCTACAAAACTCAGAAATTCCCCGATACAAAGTACATATAAGTAATGTTTTATCTCGTGTTTATCACAAACGTTACTGACCTTCTGAAGTTTGTAGTTTGATGTTCATTTGAAAGGAATCAGGCACCACCTGCCCAAGTCTAATATTTATGCTGTCAAATGCCTCATTTCTGACTTGTTGATGTCATACATGAGTTATCTTATGAAAGGATGTCAGATGTGTTTTTACAGGTTACACAAAGCAGTTCTGTTGTGTCAAATCACACATTTGGGATTCATTGTGGTTGTTATTAAGTTCACAAACCATGGTTACAGTGAGAGATACAAACTATGATGATTCAGTCTATCTAACCTGCTGCCACTCCCCGAGTGTCTCTCTCCCCTCTCTCTAACTGTATGTGTGTGTGGTTGCCTGAGTGCAGACAGGTTCCAGCTTCCAGTCCAACCCTCAGCCCCAGGTTCACACCCACCAGCCCAAGCTTGCCTAGGTCTGCACTCCCTCTCCCCCTCTTTTCAATAAACACTAGTTTCCTATTAAGTCCCTGTCTCCTGGAGTGTCTGCATGTGTGTTCACGAGCTCAGTCTCAACACAAACTGGTTAGGGGGTGAAAAGGTGAGAAGGAGGCGTGAGCCGAGAAAAATACAAAGCAGCAAGGGGGTATACTCTGGAGATTCTTTATTTTAGTTTAAAATAAGCTGCTGAATACTGATTTCTGATGACTTTAACTGGTCACAAGATAACACAGTTACAATATTCAACAAGTGAAGTAGAAAGTCTTAATTCATGAGATCAAGATTAGTATTTTTCTGTCCACTATGGTTTGAGATGTGTCACTCTGTTCTCCACTGCAGTATAATAAGAATACCTTACAATAAACTCAAAGGTACATTTAAATGCTGATCCAGGATCAGTGTCATTACCCCAAATTTAATATTTACTGACATTAGAGAACACTTTAATTCAGTCCTGTAGCTCACACATGCCAAGACGTTTGTACAAAACATAACAAACTTGTGTTTTCAGCTGTGTTTGCTCTGCTGCTCTTCCAATGCGTGCTCCTTCCAACGCCGCACACAAACTTACACACTACTAACTTCCAGCTAGCCCATCCGTGTTCACGCAGCACCACAGTGGAAGCAAAGCAGAGCAAACAAAGCCAAAACACAATTTTGTTCTGTTTTTCAAAACATCTAGGAATGTGTAAGCTGCAGGACACTTGGATTACTTCAGATGAGCAATATGGAGACATTTTTTGGATGTTTGAAGCCAAGTTGCCGTTCAATGCAGTTTTGTGAGAAACAAACATCTCGGCAAACTCCCAGAAGAGCATGATGAGTCCTTCTATCGGCATCGGGGTGAGTAGACGATGACAGAAATTTCATCTTCGGGTGGCTAAAATGGGTTTGAGGTAGCTTGTTAAAGGCACCAGGACAAGTTCAGGAACTGTTTGCATAGAGCATACGTAGCCTATCGTTTGGAGAGGCTTTTTAACCTTAAACTCTGGAAAACATTTGACATGCTGGTGCATCTTAAAAGACATGCTTACTATTCCTTTTTATCTTAAAGAACAGTGTTTTGCTCTGAGGTTCTAAACGTCTGTTTCTGTATCATGAGTAATATCCTACAAAAAGCAGAGCATCTTGACACTAAAAAGTGCGATATTTGGCCCCTCGCTCTTTTCATGCCCACACTCACATCCGTGACCCATTAAAAATGGCCCCACGAGCCACCAGTTGAGAACCTCTGGTTTAACTTGAAAATGCTGATCTAACTTCTTTTCTTTTGTCCCCAAAACGTAGCCACTCCACATGGCCACATACAGTATTTAATACAGTGCAACAAGTTCAAATAAAAATGACATCATTAAAACGAGAGAAAAATAAGAAAATAGACAAATAGCCACATTAACAACTGTGCCGTATACATGTGCACTCAGACTCAAGTTTGTTTCGCAGAGACAGGATTTTCGGGGACAGCTTAAGGACATCAAGCTCTAGAAGAAGCTTTTGAAAAACTTCAAAAGTGTACTTTGTTTTTGGGGGTAACTCAAATTCATGGCATAAATGATGCTCATGAGCAGGAGACAGGCCTTTGTAACACTTCCATAGTTGTCAAGTACCTCAGTCCCTTCAATAACAATGGACACATCAGTGTCGGATGCACCTTCATCTTCTTCACTTGTGTGGAAGACACAGATCCTCAGGACTTGCTCAGCCTGGTCCTCTTGAACTTCCTCTCTGCTGATATCCTGTAAAATATATGTGAATCCATGTTCAGGTGCATAGTACATATTCTGCTTCATTTTCATTTGGAATAGTATGTATATTCTGTGATGATGGTAAACCTCTTACAACTTATGAATTGCAAAGCACTACACAATTTTGTTTTTACCTGAATAGCCAGATGGCTTTTCTTGTGACACAGCTTGCTGTAGTTGCTGTTTGAGATGGCACTGTGTCAACTGTACAAAGTTGTTGCTTTGGGCTTAAGGACAAAAACACAAAGACAAAATAATACATTAAAACTACAGAATACTACAAGAAATACTACATTAAAACTAGAGGATCATGTAACCAAAATGAACTGTACCACTGTCAAACCAATGTATTTTGGATAATATTTGAAAATATGGCTCTGATCTAAAACATTACACCCATTTCCACATGTGTTAAATCTTAAATGAAGAAAATCCTGCATTTTTGCCGCTGTGATTCTGTTCCTCTCCTCCAAGAGCATTGCTGGTCTAGATTCACGTTGTTGAGAGAGAGCTGTGTCATATGCATCAAGAATAATGCAGAATCCAAATTGAAACAGTGTAAACGGAATCAGAATAGAGAACAATGAGGCTTCATATCAAATTATGAGCAAAATATAGACGAGGGGATTAGAAAGAAAGGGATCCAAACAAGGTGATGGTCCTTATGAAGCATGTGGAAGAAAATGATCACAGGAAATGTTTTTGGATAGAT